GTACCATGTGTGCTAGTTTGATAATATGTGTATCTGAACTCTGTGTACCTGTGACATTGCCCTGTGAGACGGTTTGGTCGATAACTTCTGTAGGAGGGATATCTGGGGGACACACGGCAGCTGGTGCTTGAGCTTCCAATTTATCCACTCTTTAGTTTAAACTGTTGATAGATGCCAGCATGGCCATCATTGTGGTCTGAATCACTGTGAGAGTGTCAATGATATGCTCTTGAGAACTAGACCCTGGCTGCGGATTATCTTGCAGTAGCCGGGAACGGTATCCCCCTACGCCTAAGTTCTGCGGCGATCTTTAGGCTTGTTCATGATCTTAACGAACAGGGAATTGATGGGTCTTGACTCTCTCCTGCTGTAGGGGCCGTAGTTGGAGTGGGTGGTCTGGCTGGTGTGCTGGGTATAGAGAAGTAATCTGCTTGTACTGACACGTGAGACATGCTATAATGAAATTTAAACGTGAGTTTATCTAGCTATAGTTATAGTGACTTGCGTTAACTGGCGTTTCTCTAATTACCGTGTGGCAAAGAACTTAGCTACTCTTGGGATGGTGAGGCCCTGCTGATTGCCTGTTAGAGGCACTATCTATGATTTGGCCCTATTCTGTGCCTTTAAGCGACGACGGCCTCTGTGGACTTGTTACGTGAAAAATGGCTGAGGAAAGTGATGCCCTAGCTAGATCTCTTAAGTAGAGTGATGCGAGAGTATAGCTATGATTTGGGTAAGGAGGTAGGTTTGAGTTTTTATAGGCCGGATCCTCCCCTCCCACAACGCCTTCCCATATATATATATATATATGAATGAACACATACATCATTTTCACTTGTTTAGACTTGTTTTCCTCATTTTAAAGTTCCACTTGAGCCATTCATCCTGCTGGTGCTCGCTTGTATCATAGATGGATTCTGGATGAATCACTGGATCATAGCTGGATCATAGCTGGAAAATATGATTGCAGTAAAGTAAACAAAGGTGTGGTGAGAAAAAAATGGAGTAAACAAAAAATGTCAGTGTGTTAGCCTGATGAGATCATGTTACTGGAACATTTATGCAGATGTTGAATAATGTATCTAACCATTGTCTAAAGGTTGAGCTTGTGGACGTTGGCATCTGCTTTGGCAGCCAACATGTATTGAAGAACCACACTGGACATAAATTTTACAGGAATCAAGATACACTGGAACAGAAGAAAGGAATAACATCATTAATTTCTTAGCTAAAAAAAAATAAGCTGTCAAAATAAATGTATATTTGATTCACATTGATTATATTAGCTTTATATTGACCTCTGTCTAGAGACATACCACATGCGGTAAGTGTTGGGTAACCCAGAAGCAATCATGTAATCAAAGAACTATATTGCCCCATTTAAATCTGTTTTGGTGAGTGTTCCAAAAATAGACATCACAAAAATGACAGTTTTGCATGGACCTTAGAATAAGGGAATGCCGGGAAGACGCCAAATAAAGGCACAGTTTTCAATTTCCTGTTTATGGATATATATATACCGTATGGACTCACATTATAATTATGCACGTGACAAAGACAGATGTTGAAACATGTTGTGCTTTTATCCATCTATTTTATGTCATATTTATGGCTTTTTATTTTGTAATACAATAAAGTGTGTTTTACCCTATGTTTGCAAAAATAAATTCTGCTTTTTCTAAATATTGGAATCTGATCATATGTGGGGAGACTACTTGGTGATATTACCAAACAAAAGTGATCCAAGCCAGAGCCTGATATATGATGCTCTGGTAAATGTGAGTGTTTTTTTTTTTTTTGTAGCATCTCTTATATTGTATATATAATAACAAAAATGCACTATGTGGATTTTCTTTTTATGTTTCTATTTTTTACCAATTGGATGATCATTGGTACTGGGGGATTGTTGCTGTGTTTAAATTAGCGCCTGTTGCATCTTATTGCTTTTTTATCTGTATTTTATTCTTTGGGGGGGTTTTTTCACCAGTGTGTCAGCAAAATGTTAACTATCAATTTTTTTTTTTTTTTATGACGAGTAAAACAGAAGTTTAAAAAGTAAATATGACAAAATATGGGAGACAGGAAATACAAGCTAAGAATGTGGACACAGAATACAATCTGGAATTAAAAAGGAGGACAGTACTAGTTGAGACAAGTGTCATTTTATCTGCTGTCAGTTTCAATACGACTAAAAATGTTTGTGGTTGTCACACCTTTTCTATTCATGTAACATGCCTGTATTATATATCCCTATAACTTATGTACAAAAGGCATAGCTCAGCCTCCAGATTGTTTTCATAGACTAAGCTTCCGTGGAAAAACCTGATGTTTCATCAGACTAATTATTATAGTGTTCTGACAGACTATAACACTCTAACAAAAACATTCAGGTGAGAGATGAGTCTTTTTGCCAGCTGGGAAGAGTTGAAATCATACTTCAAAGTGTTTAAAACTCCCTGTTAATTTTCTGTTGCTACACAATAACATCCTTCCGTTACAAATATAAATTATATATCACCACTTTAAGGACAACTAACATTACACAAAAAACACAAGTTCATATCTAAACTGAAACATGTTTCCTAACAACAGCAGAAGGGTATCTTGTACCCAAGCAGCTCCCAAGTGACCCTATACAGCAAGAGTTCCGCAAACGGTCGATTCTATGGTTTATTCTGAAATATTTATTTTTGTTTCTCTTTTCCAATATTAATATTGATTCACTAGATGGAGTACAGTTTAGTGTTAGGAATTTAATGCAGATATCTCAAACTTAAGTCCTGAGATGCTGATGAACTACAACTCCCAAGATTATCTTGCTCTCTACTGCATCAAAAGCATTCTCGGAGTTGTAGTCCATCAACATCTAAGAGGAGCAGAGTTTGAGATCCCTGATTTAATGAGCTATATTCATTTAGTTAGTGCAAGTTGCAGGCTATTTACTTACACCACTATTATGTCAATAGACACAAGTAACTCACTACTTGCTGCTATGACTTTTCCTATTGTAAATGCAGACTTTACATCGGGAAGTTCTAAGTCATAGGTGCGAACTGCAAAATGTCTCTGTTATTTACTGCTCTGGTATTATCAAGCATAAAAAAACCACAAAAAAATCAAAAACAAAACATGACATGCACATAGTAGTCCTTTCTAGGCATGGATTGCTAACTCCCTCTTTTACCCTCCCAAGTAAGACACGGACACAAATTAGTGTTGAATGAAATTTTTCCATAGCTTTAATAAAAATTCATAACATTCACAAATAAGATCATTTACCATAGACATATAAAACATCCTAAGCAGGCACCATTTTCCAAACAGATCTGAACCGTAGGGGGATTTTCCCACGCTGTGTAAAATGACACAGAGCACTCTGATTGGCTGGATTTCAAGCTAACGAATCAGTGTGCTCCGTGTCGGGGGGAGGACAGTAGTTCCCCTCCTTATTGGTATTTAGGGCCCACACCCGCCGCTCAGGGGTGGGGGCCAGGGTGGGCAATAAGCCCCCCCTTTAGTTTAAAAGCCCCCGCGGGTGGGAGCTCAGGAGGGGGGGATTTTTTTTTTTTTAAAACAGTGAGCAGCCAGTGGCTGCTCACTGTTTAATAGACATGCCCCTACTAGCTGGGTCACATGCTGCACTGGCCAATCACAGCCATTGTAAGAAATTATGACCCTCTTACAAGGATATTCTTTTAGGGAATGTGTGACAAATAAGACATAAACACAAGTGTATAATAAAATGTATTGTAAATATTCATTTAAGGATACTGTTAGATTTTAAAAGGATATACACAATATACATTATACATTATATCCGGTAAATAATCAAAAGCTACATAATAAAAGGCAATACTTAAACATTTAAATGCAGGTCTTCCCCTTGCGCCTTCATCTTGGGTAATCTGGGACAGCCTCTCTTAGTTCACCATGGCCCTGCTTGCTGCGTTGTCCTCTCCAAAGAGAGAGAGAAAGAGGAGAGCCTTCCTTGGATGTTGTCCTTTTAAAGACTGATTCTTGGAGTAATAAACTACAAGTCCCAGAATCCCTTTTCCCTCCCAAAAGTGGTTTATCCCGCCCTCTTTCTCCAGAGAGTTCTGTCTTTACACAAGTCTTTTCCTTTGAACTCTTCCATCCAGCTATATTGTAATGTTCTGAAAGAAGTGACCAGTTAGGGTTGGTTTCTGGGTGGGTTAGACTGCTTGGGAAAACACACACTTCCATGGTTACACCTAGATGTCTATTACTCTGATCTCCTGATAACATGCAAGGAATACTGGAGGGATGTAAGCTTTTGTTTTAGCTGGGTGTTGTAAAATGCAACTGAAAGCTTTGATCCTTATCACACTGTTATCAAGTAAATGACCCCAACTTGTGAAACCAGTCACATACACAGAAAGTTATATACAATATTGCAGTTTGGAATATCAATTTCTTACAGTCCCCACCTAGAGGGCGAATGACTCAACAAGAAAATGAGCCCTCTCAAAGAAATACAGTATTTGTATTATGTGTGTTTTAAATGATTATGTGTTTTACTGAGACACAAATGACTTGACAACCACATATATTTATAATTTAGGGTACTGCAATGCATAATTTAGCCAAATCATTGAGGCATTTACAGTTATCATTTTTCACCATTAATTTGAACTCCTTCAGCCATATCCGTAACCTTTCATTACCCTCATAGGCTCAGCATCACTGCAACCATTAGATTTCACTCCCATCACGCTCAGTTACCTGTGCCACCAGCACTGCTTCCACCACACTGTTCCTTTAACCCTGGCCGTGCTTACTTTGAGCTATTAGGCCTCTGACCTCTGCCCACCATGACACCTGGTGTATTTTCACACCAACAGCAGTTAATTTTCTGTTCACTTACATAGTGTATTAAAGAGACCACACAAGGGAGAGACATAGTTTATTGTTTGTAGTGGGGATCTGAGTGAAGGTGTTTGTGCACGTTTGTATAGGTGGAGTGGGTTTGTGTTTGAGCCCTTGAGGATGTTTAATAAGTTTTCGATAGGCCCTTGGCTTCCGGAAATTAAAAGATTCTTAGCACAGAAAGTGTGCAGTGTTACATTATGCAAATCACTAGTGGTTTAATTATCATCCTTGTCTCAGTACTACCGTCTGGATTCACAAGTGGTCATCTAAAACATTGTAAACACAAATGTGAGCAAAATGCAACCAATATTAATGTATACTAAGGGATACGTCCTCATAACAGTATGAAATAATTTACTATAACTTTACTAAAACCATAAATATTTAACCCCTTGTGGAAAACCAAATAGAGCAAATAGAAAATGCAAAATCATATATTGTCGCTCACCCCACCTTGACTCAAAAACAATATAAAATATACAAACTGGTCTAATTTGTCTATACGCTATACCCCACCTTGAGAGTATAAATTAAAACAAAAACAAACAAAGAATAACCATTATCATTCTATTGTTCACCCAACCTTGACCCAAGGAAATGTAAATATATGCAATTATCTGTTTTCCCTATATTCCCTTTAGAGTGTGAAATACAATAAAAAGCATAAGAAAACAACAAAATCAAAGAAGATGGAGAGAGAAAAAAGTAGATTGAATGCTACCATTACCTTCAGTCATTGAACTGTATACAAAGTTTGGCAGCGTGCAATCTAAAGAAAACTGACAATGGTCTGTTGCCTTTCAAAGATTAAAATCAAAAATCGGCTTGAGGCTCTTTGTGTTGATAACCAAATGAAAAAAAGACAAAAACAAAAATATTTACTGTTGTAAACCAACATACAGGTACACTATCACATCTCTCCAGTGTGATCAACATATAAGCCTCACCTTGGCAACAATTCATCTAATCTAGAAATATATAAAATTAGTAATCCAGTATCAAAATACAAAAATAAAAATAAAACATAGCTGGAAGTGCAGGTGTGCTAAACTAATAAAAACAAAAATAATTTGGAATTTGGACCACCTGACTGTAATGAATGAATTTAGAGGCTTATCCTTAATATGAAAAAAAATAATATAAAACTACATATTAAGGTCCTCTATAAACTGGAACTGTATTTTTCCTGAAATAAATAAACATGTTAAATGGTTGGTCTTCTCACAGGTCTATATTTGTCTTCCTTCTCAATTGGCATCATCTCCGTAGTTTTCTAAAAAAACAAACTTCAAGAGAAAGTTAATAACACACAACTAGAATAGGTCATTCAAGAAAAAATTTATCTGTTATCAGATTCTTTGTGTTAACCATATCCTCTAATGTACTTAATTGTGCCTTGAGACAATCCAGTTTTTCAAGGAACTCATTTCGTTCACATGTTAGAGAAAGATTTTCTGCCTTTAGTTGTCTATTCTGTGCTTTAAGCACATGGTAGGGAATCCAAGGTCCTGTGAGGGGGATACCATTATTATCTTTTCTCTGTGATCTCCACCTAGGGTGATTATTTTTATTTCCCAGAGTCCATCTATCACACATGGGCCTTTCATGATGAATATGCACATCTGATTTACAAAATTTTTCAATATGTCCCATCCTACCACACCTAAAACATGTAATGGATTTTATATGTGGGGACTTTCTCTGATTGATATATCTGTGAGGTTGGGGACTTTGTATCAATGACACTTGTCTTTTATTTACTTTTTCTTGATTTAGTAAAATTGCTTCAGCCCTTTTTAAGCAATTCCGTATATTTACAAAGGTGTCCTGTGGGGACACAGTTAAACCAATTAACTCTCGAATATCTGGCAGTGTCCTATTAAGTAATGCTTTCTTATATGCATATTCATTCTGATAATCATGTGCTCCAGGTAGAACAGTCAGTTTGAATAAAACGAATAACCTATTTACAAACCCTTGAACAGACTCCCCTCTCTTCTGAGCACAATTACCAAAAGCAAAATGATGATTTATTTCCTCTAGACCAAGTGCGTTTAATAACTCTTTGATAAGTCGTTGCTTGGTTCTAGGTTCTATAAATATCTCATGTGGCAGACTTGCTCTTAGTGAATGGTCTGTACTAGCAATTATAACATCAAAAATATCCAATTCATTTAAGTTTCTGTGGATTTTTTCAAATTGATCAATTTTTAACATTATATCTACTGGATCATCATCCAAGCTTATACATCCCAGTTCTTTGCTCAGTGCAATAACCTCTGTATGTTTTAAGGAATGGGTCACAGTAGTTTTATGTAGTACGTTTCCCTGTGCATCCACCATGTGCTCTGTAGCGACTGGTGCCATTTTAGCAGGAATACTGCACTCACAATTACTATAATTATTATGAAACACCTCCATCTTTGTTGTACACAAACCTCCACAATTGGTTTTCAGCCCATATTTAGTATCAGCAAAACCATTTCTTTTTCTTAGTTTACATTTTAAATCATCAATTTCTTTAAGGCACACAGAATGATCAGCCTCTTTCTGGCTGCTGGAAGCAAAGATTCTAATAGCACCCTCTGCATCCTTCAGCCTTTCTACAAGCTGCTCATTACAACTGTGCAATTCCTCATTTTCAAGACGCATTTGCTGACTACCTACACACAAAGCAGCAGCATTTTGCGCAGACAGTTTAAAACCTTCCACTTCATTCTTTAAGCTCAAAACATCTGCCTCTAATTTCTCTTTTTGCCTATTTAAAGATTTATACTTCTCCGCAATCCAACGGGCAGCATAAATCAAAGCAATTTTACCACTAGATTTGGACAATTTCTTTTCAATAATTGCCCTGGCCACATAATCCTGAGCATTAAGCCACGGATCTAATGCACCATCCATACATTTAATTATTGCTTCCGGATTAGACACCTTAGCAATCTTTTTCAATAAACTCTCCATCATTGACAACGCACAATTCACTGAAATGTCTATACACAATATCTGAACAGTATCCAAAAGTAAATATACAATCTATACAATTATGAATATGCTCATAAATCACACTAAATCCCTCCTACCTCGGCTCGCCAATTTGTAAGAAATTATGACCCTCTTACAAGGATATTCTTTTAGGGAATGTGTGACAAATAAGACATAAACACAAGTGTATAATAAAATGTATTGTAAATATTCATTTAAGGATACTGTTAGATTTTAAAAGGATATACACAATATACATTATACATTATATCCGGTACATAATCAAAAGCTACATAATAAAAAGGCAATACTTAAACATTTAAATGCAGGTCTTCCCCTTGCGCCTTCATCTTGGGTAATCTGGGACAGCCTCTCTTAGTTCACCATGGCCCTGCTTGCTGCGTTGTCCTCTCCAAAGAGAGAGAGAAAGAGGAGAGCCTTCCTTGGATGTTGTCCTTTTAAAGACTGATTCTTGGAGTAATAAACTACAAGTCCCAGAATCCCTTTTCCCTCCCAAAAGTGGTTTATCCCGCCCTCTTTCTCCAGAGAGTTCTGTCTTTACACAAGTCTTTTCCTTTGAACTCTTCCATCCAGCTATATTGTAATGTTCTGAAAGAAGTGACCAGTTAGGGTTGGTTTCTGGGTGGGTTAGACTGCTTGGGAAAACACACACTTCCATGGTTACACCTAGATGTCTATTACTCTGATCTCCTGATAACATGCAAGGAATACTGGAGGGATGTAAGCTTTTGTTTTAGCTGGGTGTTGTAAAATGCAACTGAAAGCTTTGATCCTTATCACACTGTTATCAAGTAAATGACCCCAACTTGTGAAACCAGTCACATACACAGAAAGTTATATACAATATTGCAGTTTGGAATATCAATTTCTTACACCATGCCATTAGTAGGTATGGCTGTGATGGCTTCTAAGGCACACAAGTCAAACGCTTGTTGATTGGCTGCCCTGTGGCTTTTCAAAACGTGTCATTAAATCACCAAACTCCAAACTCAAACCCGAACATACAGTGATATGTCCGTGTTCGGGTCCAGGGTCCAAAAAATTTAATGTTCGGTACGAACCCGAACTTTTCAGTTCGGGTTTGCTCAACTCTATACGCGAAACATCCTGAAGAGATAAAAAAACAAATGAACTGCAAATAAAACCTTCTCCTCAGCCATCACACTTACCAACCGACCAACCAAGCTACAAGGCAAGCTCATCCCAAGAACATAAACAGCCAGCAGAACTGGACCTTAGTATTTTTTTTTTCTCTCCTTCTTCTTCCTACCCATGATACTTACACTAGCCGACCGGGCCACATATAGGACCAGATGCATAGTGCTTCTCACCTCCCGATTCGCCTAACTAATTGGTCCTCAAAACCCAAGTGGATGTCCTCTGTCCCTGCTCCAATGGAATGTGTACTGAATTGCTGTGGATCTAACCCCATGCCTTGCAGGCCCAATTGGAAAACCCTGAAAAACTGAACCATGACAATGAAGACATGTCTTCATGCAGTAAAAAAGAAAACTGATACACAGTAGACCGGGCACATGTTCAACCCCTCTAATGAAAACAAGGTGACTGTGCAACCTTCCATTATTAATATTGATTCACAAAATGGAGTACAGTGTTGAGCGATGTAACCATATGGTTACCCTATCCCTTCTCAAAATCACATCAGCCATTTGGATACCTACTTCCCAATACCCGTTAACACTCTCCAGGTCCCCAATAGGAAAAGCTCCAAAGAACAACCACACAAAAGCTACTGTAAACAACAGAACCTCATAATTAGAAAAGCATACACTCTGTAGACCACCAATTAAAATCTGTAAAATCTCGAAGGATACTAGTCGACAAGAATCCACAGATCTCCTGCCTTTACTAAAACCCTTCAATGCTTGTCTAACCATAAAGTGCTTCATCAGATCTGCTCAGCCATTCATCTTAAACAAGAATGCTAATGCTGCCATGTTCTGATCTACCATTGGTGGGGATGTCCTTGCAGCAAATAACTGACAAAGAAACCACAATAAGGTGTCTGAGTGCTTCTCCAAAGAACCATCCCCCCATCCCAGCTACCGCTTCATCACAAGCACTCCAGACAATAACATCAGCCACCTAGGTACCAGTTGCCAAAGACTCCTTTATGAATCTTTGTCAGGATGTCACGAGCTGCCACATTTCATCCGGACAAGCTGATCCCTTGACCTGTGACACTGGAGCAGCCATAAGAGTGCATCAGCAACTACATTCAAATACCCCAGCATGTGACATGCTCTGAAAACAATATTCAACGACATGCAAAGCATTTCCCTCTAACACAAGAATATTACTAGGGGATACACAGTCCATGGTCAAAGTGGTTTAAAACTCACAACTCCCCTCTGATAACCTTCAAGCCTCTAATGACCAACCCACCCATAATTTAATTGCTCCTCAAACCCAATGAAATAAACTCTACCTCCCTCTAATAGGTATTTCGTAACAAAATAATAAACCTATAAAAAAAAATCATATTTATCTGTTGTTGTTCTTGTAAAACTGTTCTTGCAAAAAGCCTAGCAAAATACATCATAGCCGCTAAAACTAAGATAAAGCCAAATCACAAAAAAAGATAAAATAGTTCCTCAAGAGCAGTATACTCATCAACCCCAATATTCATTAAAAAAAGAGCGTTTGAAGTTTGCACCTTCAAAAGGCA